TATATATATATATATATATATATATATATATATATATATAGATATATATATAGATATAGATATATCTATAGATAGATATATATATATATTTTTTTTAAATATTCTGGACCAGATTCTGAGATCTTTCCTGAGACAGATTTTTGCTTAACTTCAGTGGGAATATTCCCCAAGTATAGCCCAAGAAGAAACTCAGTTTAGATCTCAAGCATTAGTCTTTAAAAAAATTACAACAAAATATCCATTTCAGAATGTTTTTACTGTATTTTCTCTACATTGTTTGTCAGTCTTTTTCTCCTCCTTTCACTGTAGTTACTTCATAGATAACTTTAATTTTGTCTGGTGAATAGTTTGCTGCCATTGTTTTTCTTCCTTTTGTGTTTAAAGTTTCCATGTCTTTACCTCTCCTTTCTTTATGTTTTCTTTCCTTTTCTTTTGTGTTCTCTCTTCACTTCTCTGGTACATCCTTCTTCAATGTTTTTTCCTTGACTTCTGTTTTTTCTCCTTTCTCTGTTTTCTTCCCCTTCTGTTCAGTTTTCTGTTTTTATCTCCATTCCCTTTCTTTGCTCCCTCTGTCTTCTGCCTGGAAGAAAAGTGAAATGGATCACAGCAGTATCCCCTGGTACACCAGTAGGAAGAAAACCAGGTGCATGCTTGGTTAAGTTTTGTAGGGTTAGTTTTGTCAGCTGAACCAAAAAAAGAGGGGACCCAAAAAGAAATTCTCAGTGGTGAGGCAGTCTGCTGGCTTTTTAGAGATCGCTTTTTGAATCAGTTTTAATACTGCTGTCATCATAAACTGAATCTACATAGAAGGACTGCAGCATCAGATGGTTTTACTTTCCATATCTAATGCCATCAGCAAAACGTTAGCGCAGGTCTTGGGTTCTCAGAGAAAGCATCACTTGTTCTGAACTAACGGTGAACAGTTCCACTTCTGTTCAAGTGATTTCTCTTTTAATATCTCAGAGTCGTGGGCACTGATTTGCTGCTGTTGTATGGCCACACTCTGTTATACAATCATTTCCCCAAGAATACATGCTTACTTCTGTAGCATGAAAGTGCAGATTGGTATTCAGGAAAGTGCTACCATGAAGAGATGGCGGCAGCATCTGGATCTACCCAAGAAAAGACTAGTGATTATAAGGCTTGTTGACATAGGGCTTAATTTTGCAGTCTTTTGTGGAGCAAAATATACTCATTCAGGTCAATCTGAAAGTTTGCTCCATTAAAGACCATAGTTTTGTCTCTCAGCTACCTGTGACCACAAGACATAAAGAACCGTGTTACATTTGATTTCCCTGATTTGTCCCAACCTGGACACACATCCTGTGTCAGCCAGATAGTCTCCTGGTAAGTAAATTTGGTGGAAGGGACTGCCACTAAAACACAACTTTTTAAAAAAAAATCCCCGCTGTCTAGTTCTCACACTGTCTGTCTCTTTCAAAAGTTTGGAAGTGCCATGGGAATGTGCAAGAAATGTGCAAATATTTTTTAATTTCAAACCATTACAGTGGTTGTTATGCCAACTGTGTCTGCTCTCCTGGTTATGTGCAATGCACGGATAATTTTCTAACACCTAATGTTAATCATCCTTCTGGCTGTATTAGCTGATTGCTGTTAGCTGCATCTAGAATCAGAATTGGGAACACCTGCATGGGCTCCTGAGTTTTGGCTTTAAAGCTTTAGCATCAAGCTGTGTTTAGTACTCATAAATGCACATTAAATCTTCATTTCGCTGTGCTTAGAACAACCATGATCCCTAAGAATTAGGGCATCAAGCACCAGATGAAATTGGTTGGCAACTGTTGGATGGAGGCATGCTTCTGTTGTATAGTTTAATTTCAAAGCAGCTGCTGCACTTTTTTGAGGGAAGGGAGATGTAGGGTGTTTTCTTATTGAAGGGAATTTCATAAAGCATGCCTCTTCATGAAACAGTTTCCTGACATCCAGTCTAGGATAAAGTATGGGTCACATACCAATCTTTTAGTTTCCCAAGCAAGACTTCAGCCAACTGGAGGAAGTCATGGCTTTCGATCCAAAGAAGTTGCACATTAGTCATTTAAAACTATCTTTTTCTAGAGTAGACAAAGATTTTCACTCTAGCACATATATGTTGCTTGGATTAGAGCAATATATGATCTCCTACCATGAAATCTGGATTTGACCACTGCTTTCTCAGTTGCATTTTATTCATCTGTGCAGTGGCCAACTCTGATCTCCGGGCTGGAGAAGTAATAGAAAAAGTTGCAGGGAGCCATTGAAAATTGCTTACCTGATTATAGAAACAAAACAAAATAAAAACATTTTTTTAAGGAACACTAATTTTTCCAGTTACTTGCCATTAATCCTCAGTAACACATTTTTACAAGGGAGAGAAAAACTGGTTAAAAAAAAAAAGGGAATGATGCTTCCAAACTTTGGAACAAACGTGGTTTTTCTGTTTTCCTAAATCTGTCTTCCTGTAGCCTGTCCACCACCTAATCTATTTGGTACCTATCTCATAACTCTCCCATTTTAGATGGGGTTTTTCCCCATTTCGGCCCATCAGTTTCACCTCCTTACCACCTTCTAAGTTGTCCCACATTCTGTTTTAACTTTCTTTTCTTTCTTTATTTACGTCCATTACAGCCAGATCTCTATGGCTCACAGATGTGCACAGGGAAGCTCCCAGAGGTGCGTCACAGGCCCAAAAGAAGCTTGCATCAAAGTGCTTCTTTGAGATGTCATAGCACTGCAGCAGCAGGTTCATGTGTGTGCAGTAGATTTGTTGCTTGGCTTATCCCACTTTTTGTCATTAATCCCAAACTCTGGAGGCCCATATCACACATTGTTTTGCCGAGAACTTCTTAGGAAGACGCCATGTAAAATGTCTAGATTGGGGTGGTACGAAGGGTATGCTTAAATGCACTTCAGGTGTAGTCCTCTAATTCAGTAAGTCCTCCAATTCGCTGGTAGATGTTGGCTGTGCAGTAAAAGGGGAAAACCGTAGGTTCTGAAATTTAGGAAATTATACTGGATGTTTAAAACAAATTCTCTAAAATCAAATTTCAATGCAAATCTGTGGCTTTCAGTGATTGGACCAATTCTCCAATGCCACTGTCGCTTGTAAGATGATTGAAAAGTCATGCAAGGCTTTGGCAGTTCTAGCCTATTTTTTGAGTCCCTACCTCCTAGAAGTGTTAATAACAAACATAGAAAGCTTTAGGGGCTCAAAAAAGAGACTTCCTTAGCACCAGCTGTGTTACAACTCAGTGTTACAATTTTGACCACTACTTGCAAATGGCCAGCCCTCTCCTCCAAACTAGAAACCATCCCACCTGATCCAATATTGTGACGTATCAGGGATGAGGTTCATCTTTGAATCAGAACATCAATTATGATTCCATGAATGTATTTTTTCCATTATTAAGCATTGCAAATCCAGTGTAAAGCTCCTAAAATACACTGTGTTGTCCACAAACCTAGAGTAGTTTTGTTATGTCTGCACCAAATCACCAGGAAAACAAGCTAAGCCTTAAATCATTATTCCATGGAAGAGCAGGGTTGATTTAAAGATGAGTTTCATGCACTTTTTTTCCTGTCACAGTCATAACTTTCTTTTTCTTTTTTAAAGTTGGATCCTGGTTTTAGCTCTATATTTTGATAGAGAAGAGAATGATTGCATCTACAGTATATAAGTTTCTAATTTTAAATGTAAAGCGTCAATCACAGTTTCTGAAAGTAATCTTACAGGTAGCATGGATTCTTGGTAAGGAACTATATCAGCTGTGGCTACTGAGTATTTTAAATCAATTTCTTCCCACTTGGCATCCACAGGGAATCCCAGAGCAGTGGGCCAGGCTACTACAGACCTCCAACATAACCAAACTAGAGCAGAAGAAGAACCCACAAGCTGTTCTAGATGTCCTCAAATTTTATGATTCCAAAGAGACAGTTAACAACCAGAAATATATGAGCTTTACTTCAGGAGGTGAGTCAAAATTGTGCTGTGCAAAGAAACCCCCTGAGAGTCAGACCCAAGCAAGCAAATGTGGAATGTCCTTGAAGTGAAACAGGAGGGACCTGAATGCCATTCTGATCACAAGGAAAGATCAGAAGCTCTTGAATTAAATGCTACATTTTCTCCAGAGATGTAGTTGCAAACAAGGAAGATTAATTGGAAATGCTACTTGTTTTTGCTAGCTTTTTTTTCCAGAACTAAATACGGGCATTGAGTGACTGAAGAGAAAAGCCACCAGTGCTTTCTTTCTGAAGCCTCAAGTACTGGTGACCAAACATTTTGTCTACATTTATCTTGCTTCCTCCATACAGCTGGTTCCTCATTGTGTCCTTACCACCTTGCAGCCCCTAGGTCGTGAGGCAAGGTGAATCAGTGTAGTCTGTTTTTGGATGAAGTGGTGGAACACAAGAGCAGCAGGTTATGGAGTACCATGTTGTTGGATATATCTTTCAATTTAAAGAAAATGGTTCAGTAATTATCGAAAGTGTCTGACTACTGAGCTGCTGAAGGGATAAGTGCTGTGTATGAATATGTGAATTGCATTTACAGATTCACAGAAGTTTAGGGGTGGAAGGGACCTCGGGCGATCATCGGGTCCAGCCCCCCTGCTCTGGGCAGGAAAGATTTAATCCAGAATTTTGGGTCATGTGGTATCTTATAAGGAGCTTGACCCTGAAAGATGGGAGAAGGGAAGGTACCTCTGAGGTAGCCTTTGTAGCGTCTTCATTCTGGGGAGTTCTTTTGTATTAAGTAGCTGTTTCTACCGAAGTGGGGTTGTGAATGAAACCTGATGTTGTTGGGAATGCGCATGTCCTGGATTCCTCAGAACAAGCGTTGTCATGATAAGCGTCTGGTTAATTTCCCCTTGCACCTTTCAGATAAGAGCGCCCATGGATACATAGCAGCCCATCCTTCGGTGAGTGTAAAAATAACAGTATATTTTCATTCACAGTGTTTGGGTGCATGGCGGTGGAATAAGCTGTATCTGGTATTAAGAATGTCAGGTTCCACTCCTGAGAGAAGTCACGTGTGTCTTTGCAACAGCGGTGTTGAAACACTATTGGATAGTCTTAATTTTCTGTCAATACCTTTTAAACAGATGAAAGTCTGAGTTTGTTGACAGAGAATTGCTTATGATTCCCAGTCTTTTGTGGATTGTATAATTCAATACAATGTACGTTACAGGCAAACTAGCACATTTTAATGCAATTTTTCCAACTTTGTTAAAGGCATCTAGAATAAATGTTGAACTTTGTTCTTTCTTTGATTCATCTGGTTATATGACTGCATATAAATGAAGCTATAATTGATGTGCAACTCACTGGAACCACTTATAAGAATGTTTTAAATAATGTTCCATTATAATTAATGCTGAATTACAATGGAAATCCCAAAGATGTACTTATGACATCTGCATTAATATTGACCAAATTTATCAGTGTTAATGTTAGTACATTAAATACTGAATGATTGAATAGGGAGTGAGCCTTTATTTTGAAGTGTTAAGTAACTTAATTTTATGTTCTTGATTGCACAGTAGAGACTGTCTATAATAAATATTCACAGTGAAGTTTTCAGGTTGGGGCTACTTTCATTATATAATATATTTCTACAAGAAAAACTCAAATACACAGGTATATTAGTAGAATAGTTTTCCAGTGAAGTACGTGCAGTCATTATAGATCCATTGAGAACTGTTGATGTACTAGCCAATTGCCTGTCAGGAATGACCTGGGGAGGGAGCATGTGGGGTGGAGGCTGCAGTGGCGGGGAGGGGAGGAGTGGGCCTGGGCCTGATGCAGGGGAGGACCAGGCCCAAGGACGGGGAGAAGCCGGCCCACCATGGTGTGTGAGCAACAGGTCCAGGCCGACCCGGCAGGGGAATGGAAGTAGCAGGCTCAGAGCTGACAGAGGGGAGGAGGGGGTGGGGGAGGAGTGGGTCCGCGCCCGAGAGGAGAGGGGAGGCCCAAGCCCGAGCCAGGGGAGAAGGCAGCCCTCTGCAGCAGGAGATAAGGGTGGGGGGCGGGGAGGGCATGAGACCAGTTCCGGTAGCCTGGCCCCCACCCTCTGCTCCATCCTTGTCACCTGCAGGTAGCAGGGCAGAGGGGGCGAGGCCAGCGCTGCTGGCCTCATCCCCCCATTCCACGCACTCCATTGCTCCCGCTTCCGGGGAGCAGGGTAGGGGGGGTGAGGCCATTGGAGCTGGCCTCATCCCTGCCCCTTTGTCCCCTGTGTCCCCACCATCATGGCGGCGCCCCACTGGCTGCCAGCTCCTGTTGGAGTGCTTGTTCACGCTCTGATTGGCTGTTTGTCAGCCAATCGGAGGATGACTAAGTGTTACGGACAGACAGACGGATAGACGTAGGTTTTTATAATATTAGAATGATTCCTACAGGATGTAACTGGTAGCAGGATTGTCAAAACACACATGGCCATACAAGAGAGTAACCTACTCAAAGGAATCCTGCCCTAGATGGGAGGTGGGAGGACTAGACTAGTACAAAACACTTTGGGATCTTACTAGTTGAATTCTACCTAGTAACGTAAGTCTGGTATTTAAATAGATATTCAGTGTATTATATGTACTATAGCTGCACAATTCTAGTGCTATCACATTGACCCTGCAAATGTGAAATATAAGTATGAACTCTTATGGTGTCACAAAACATACTATACTATATTACACTGTGTGGTTTTTTTCAAAAAGTTTATGCTTTGCATCCCAGTGCAGTACTAGTGAATAGGAAACTGTTCCCCACCTCCATTAGGACAGTTTCTCGGTCCTGCAGAGTTGGATGATGATGTTTTAAGTAGCAAGTGCAGCTTTGCCACAGTATTTGGATTTCCATTATGTAATTCTGAAATCCTGGTGTCTTTGTAACTTTTGCTACAGGTCCCTTTTAACTGTTGTATGGTAGAATTGCTTTTTGTAGGAAGTGAAATCTATCTATCCATCTATATATGTGTGTATATATATGCGTGTGTGTGTGTGTGTGTGTTTAAAAACAAAAGATTGAAGGCAGTAGGAGGAATGAGATAATAAGCTATTTTGCAAAATACAGGGATTTACAATGAATGATCCAAATACTGTTTTCTGGCCCTTTTGTTTCTGTTGCTATATAGTGTGTCCAGTGGCCATTTTAGATATAATGCATAAAATGATTATTCAGGCTAGATACTTTTATGTAGCTTGAGCACCTGCCTTGCTAATGACAGAACATACTCTGAGTTTCTTCTTTCTTAAAATCTCTTTAAAATATTTAGTAAAGATAAATTTTACCACTCTACTCCTTCACTAGCAAATTCTGGTTAATGTGATTATCACCTCCCCATTCATGGTGGCTGGACTTAAAGGAACAGCATCCCCATTAACTTGATGATATTGTTAAACTAATCATCTGGCAAATTGAAACAGCAATAAAATAATGTTATTGGGTGAAGTTGATGATGACAATGAAAACGAACTGCTAAACAGGAAAACATGACATTGAAAAAAATTGTAATGGTAATTATCCCAAGGGTAAAATAATGGGGGAAAAAAGAATGCATTTCTCAATAATACACAATTCCCTGGTAGACTTAATGAAGGAGCCTTTGAGCTTTCAAGTGCAGTAATTAGCGTAACAGGTAGACCTGTTAGCTTAATTAACTGCTACCATTTCTTCGAACACAATGCCAGAGCAATTAACCACCAACTAGAGGTGACTCCTAACTCCTGCATACATTCAAGTACTGTTGTTTGTGAAATTAATCTTTCACTAAAGGTGTAGGTGAATGATTTATATGCTTTTATTTAATTTATTGCCCTAGTAATGCAGCCCTGGATACAGTTCAGTAGCCCAAATGTAGCAGTTTCCTAAGGCAAATCATCAATAAATAAAAGGCAAAAACTAAAAACTCCGAGATGAATTAGCAGTACATGCATTTATAAAACAAAGGTACTGTGCTATAGATAACTGAGGTTTCGACAACTGCGTGTAAATACAGAACACTTTATTCTATTAGAGTAAGATTTACACTATAAGGTAGTACTAAGCCTTCCATATTCTGTCTTTGAATCAATAAAATGAACAGTCATTTATGCTACTGTTCTTTATCCACAGAGCACAAAAACTGCATCAGAACCTCCATTAGCCCCTCCAGTTTCAGAAGAAGAAGATGAAGAAGATGAAGAGGAGGAAGATGATAATGAGCCTCCACCTGTTATTGCACCACGGCCTGAGCATACAAAATCAGTAAGTCCCTAGCAGCTTTGACGATATGCCACATGGTGTAATTTGGAGGTAAGACTGTTTATAATAGGAACACGCGCAGAATCCCTTGGATGAAGATGCAAGGGTTAGTATCCTAAAGAGGACTCTTACTTCACAGGAGCCTGCAGAAAATGGGAATTTCCCTCTGAAGCTCATCACTTAAACTGGATCTTTTTCCTGTTATACCAGTAGTTACTGTACATTAATGTGCAATCAGATGTGCATGTCTTGAGGTTCATTTTCTCCATAAAGAATTTAAATTAGCCACTTACTTTAAAAATATGTGTTTCAATATATATACATCTCATATGTATGCATGCATATATATTTTATGTTAACATATATGATAGCCCAAAGCTCTTCAAGTTACAGTCCATTGAGCCCATACTAGTGGGCAGTGGAAAGAAGGCTTAGACAGCACTTTCTTTCCACTTTGCTTCCCGCAGAAATTGAGAGAGAAAGCAACAGAGAGCAAGAGCGAGAACAGATGTAATGAGACAGAGAACTAACGGGTGAGAGGAAATGGTGCGATTCCTTCTTCTAACAAGACAAAATGAGCAATAAAAATATGGGCTTTCCTCATACTGGCTTCCCAGTACACATTTGCAGATGCAAGCAGTTGCTGTATTTGCTACAGGATGGTAGACAATTATGACGGGGAGCAGAAGTTGATATGATGACCAATCAAAGAAAAGAGACTCATAGGATAAGATAACGTGTCTGTTAAGATATGGTCCCCATTATGACAGTAATAAAGGTAGCATTGGAAGTGGTCGTGGCAAAATGTACTGCTGCAGATAATGAAAATACAAACCACCGAGAAAATATAAACCAGCCCTATCCAGTGCTGCCACACCAACCCATTTGTTGTGCTTGGGTTAGGCAGACATTAGCTTTGCTGTTGTCGTGGCACTGGATCCTGGTGCATTGCTCCTACCAGGCATTCATGGAACTGTTTGCTGCAAGCTTCAAATCTGTAAGCTTTCATATCCTTACCACAGAGTCTTCCATCACAGATTGGCTGGATCCGTAGTTCAGTTAGGATTGATTTAATGCAAGGGTAGGCAAAATGGCAGATCTGGCCAGCAGCTGGACTCCATTTCCCGGCAGCCCTTGCCTGTGTCACTGCATCTGGTTTCCATGGAGACCCCAGCAGCAGCAGGGCCATGAAAGCGTGGGGACAGTGTGTGCAGCTTG